TTGTTTTAATATATTTTCTTATATGCTATCATTCACACCATGATACAGGGAACTTCTTAGCAAAAGTTATTTCGTTTCCCATATGCATTTCTTATGTTGTGATTATATGCCTAGATCGTTAAAAATATCTTCAGGTTCAAAAAACAGTTCAAATTTCACAGTTCCTTAACATCAAGTGGAGCTAATTCAGATCGAGTTCTATAAATACCTAGAAATTCTTCGTATTTTTTTAATGGGAAAATGATTTTTAAGCATAAAGCTACACAATGGGCTGTCTGTGCCCACCACGAGTATCAAAACCCGGTTTTTAGCAGTGGGAGTCCGCAGACTTACCGCTGAGCCACTGGGGAGCTCTTTAAAGAGGAGGGATTGCTTTTATAATAAAATGACCTACAGAGCTGGATATCCCCGCAGACAAGGTGAGAATTCTAGGAGTTATTTTCTCATTCTTAATGGTACCTTATGCTCTGGATTCGTTATCTGTGGGGTTGAGGTTTTAAAACCCGTCACTGAACATGCTCATCTTTTCAACCTTGGGGACGTTATAATGTGACATTCAACCAACTATTCGATTAAGTCCCAAAAGTTGGTCGTGGATGATGTTGATTAGCTGCCTTCCCTCTAGTCTATCACTTCAAAATAAGGAACGGCTAACCTTCGAATAGCTTTATGTGCAATTCAGCAAAAAATATTTGTTATAGTAAGAGGAAGCTGCTTGGGGTAGGGGATATCTTCTTTTATTGCTTCTTTTTGTTAAATTGTATTTAGAAAATACACGTTTTTCATATTTTCGTGTTAATGTTTCATTATTGGTTTTTATTTAATCTATATTGTTGTAACGCATTCTGCCGTTGGGCGGGTTCTTTGGATTATTTGGATAAAATAATGCCAAATCCAGTCTACGTACTGATAAATAATTAATTTATTTCGTCAATAATGTTTGTTAGATGTTACGTTTATTTTGACACAAGTTGTAGGACTAAAACAACGTTTGAACATATATTCTGAAATGAAATGTATGCTTCATTTGCAAATAAACTTACATAATTTCTTCTGTAATTGATTAACTATTTGTTTGTTTGTAATTAAGCACAAAGTTACACAATAGGCTATCTGTGATATGCCCTCCCACGGGTATCGAAACCAGGATTCTAGCGTTGTAAGTCCGCAGACATACCGCTGTGCCACTGGTGAGCTCGATTAACTAACTGAAAATAAGTGAAAACACTCATTACTAACCCTAAACTGAATCACTCACTGAATACCCAATAATTCACTAACTATTTATTCATTGATTCACTACTTCACTTTTCTCGTATTTATATCATACTCGCTTGCAACAATATTTTATCAAATTCTTCCCCAGAAAGCTGTATAAAAGACAAAAGCCACGAGAGTATTAGATAAACGAGGTACTTAAGTTTAAATTGTTTATTTGTTTGTTATACAAAACTAATACTTTGTTCTTGAAACTGTTTTCTCGGGATTCTATCACGATTTATCAGATGTCGTCTATTCATATGATAACCGTAAAATGAGGTGAATGAAAGCTCAAAAACACATTTTAAGTGCTTGTATAAAATTAAATATATTGAATTTGCTATCTCATTACGTCAATGTGACGGTCAATCCCACTATTCGTTGGTAAAAGAGTAGCCCAAGAGTTGGCGGTGGGTGGTGATGACTAGCTGCCTTCCCTCTAGTCTTACACTGCTAAATTAGGGACGGCTAGCGCAGATAGCCCTCGTGTAGCTTTGCGCGAAATTCCAAAACAAACAAAACAAACATTACGTCAAATTTAATTAACAGCTCTAACAATTTGGTCTGATAAAAATTGTGGAAGAAAAATTCAAGCACTAAAACATTTGCAAGTAAAATGAAATTACCAAGATTTTGAATACACAAAATAGCAAATTACGTGACAGTCAATACAAAGTCGCAGTGTAACAGGATGTATCAGAACTACATTTCATCATTTTTTGGCGTTACTTAGTGTGATGCCACCGAAAACTGATTGCTTTTGGGAAGGATATGTAACATCCCTTTCCCATACAAAAGACTAATACACTCATATCATAAAGATATATTCATATCGGAAATTTAGAATATCCAATAATGGGATATCCTTCATACCTAATTACATTGGAAAAACAAAGGAATCTGGGTCAACTTGAGGCACCAGAAACACCCACAAAGAGACCTGCAATAAATTGTATCCCAGCAGGGGCCAGCAAAGGGTAATGTCTTATAACAGGTGAGAATCCATGAACACAAAGGTCAATGGCAATAGTATGCAACATTATCAAGAAGGAAAAGCGAAATCAGTCACGCCTACACAAGTTCTTTCCACAATATATACATTCATCCTTCAAACACATCAAGCAACTAGGTAATAAAATGAATATTCATGTTATTCCACATGAAGATATACCAGTGAAGTTACCTGATGAAGCACTTATAGATTTCTGTGTGATTTAATTGTTGCAACGGGCATCGGGAACTATTATCCTCGTAATCTAGATGGATTATGGAAATAAAACAGAGAAGAGTAGTGTGCCTTTGATATGACTGCTTACTATAGAACCTTTTGCAATGGAAACTAAGCTGCACAGCTAGTGAAAATGTTGTCATATAGAGCATGGCCAGACAGGGAAATATGGACTGTAAACAAAGTCTTTTTCTAAAACAAGTATGAAAATTTTTTTTCTACACAAAGAGTTTAAGTGATTTATATAAGATTCAAGTGTTTATTTGTAAATTAGAATATAATGGACCTTTCAGACTTTTTAGAATATTGAGGTGATTATTCGAACCTATTGACAAACTCCACTGGCTACGCCCCTGCTGTAACGACGTGGTGAGACAGCAAAACTGTTTAAATACAACAAACTCAATCTCTGTATATGTTAAACACTTCAATCAACAGCGTTTCTTCATCAGTCTCCCATAGCTAATCTGACAGTGACATATCCTTTCTTCCCTGGTCGCAGTAGATATAGTGTGACGATAATATTTTTATAGCCTAATAAATTACAAAACGTGTATTAATATTCAAGGGAGAGAATGATAATAATATACATACATATGTGTGTATGTATGTATAAATAGTGTATTATAAATCAAATGAAAGGAAAACATTATATATTTCTTTATAATTAATTATACTTGTCATAAGACATTAGTATTTGGCCTAATAGTATTGTTGCGTCAGCGAGGTCACGTGACTAGTGTCACGCCACCTGCTTTCTAGAACTATCCCGTTCCTTCGGGAGTGCTCTAGCATTTACTAGATATATATTTGTCTGGTATATACACAGAGTGGTCACAAGTAAATGGGCACCACTTTTTCAGAAAAAAAATGAAATTTTTCAGTCATATTCACAT